TGGATCATGTGTTGTGTTACACTAGCTAGACTTGTCCTTGTGTTGTATTGTACTAGCTAGACTTGTCCTGGTGTTGTATTACACTAGTTAGACTTGCCAATGTGTTGTGGATCATGTGTTGTGTTACACTAGCTAGATTTGTCCATGTGTTGTGTTACACTAGCTAGACTTGTCCTTGTGTTGTGGGTCCTGTGTTGTATACACTAGCTAGACTTGTCCATGTGTTCTGTTACACTAGCTAGACTTGTCCTTGTGCTGTGGGTCCTGTGTTGTATTACACTAGCTAGAGTTGTCCTTGTGTTGTATTACACTAGCTAGACTTGTCCATGTGTTGTGGATCATGTGTTGTGTTACACTAGCTAGACTTGTCCTTGTGTTGTATTGCACTAGCTAGACTTGTCCTGGTGTTGTATTACACTAGCTAGACTTGTCCTGGTGTTGTATTACACTAGCTAGACTTGTCCTTGTGTTGTATTACACTAGCTAGACTTGTCCTTGTGTTGTGTTACACTAGCTAGACTTGTCCTTGTGTTGTATTACACTAGCTAGACTTGTCCTTGTGTTGTGGGTCCTGTGTTGTATTACACTAGCTAGACTTGTCCATGTGTTCTGTTACACTAGCTAGACTTGTCCTTGTGTTGTGTTACACTAGGTAGACATGTCCTTGTGTTGTATTACACTAGCTAGACTTGTCCTTGTGTTGTGGGTCCTGTGTTGTATTACACTAGCTAGACTTGTCCATGTGTTCTGTTACACTAGCTAGACTTGTCCTTGTGTTGTGTTACACTAGGTAGACATGTCCTTGTGTTGTATTACACTAGCTAGACTTGTCCTTGTGTTGTGGGTCTTGTGTTGTATAACACTAGCTTGACTTGTCCATGTGTTCTGTTACACTAGCTAGACTTGTCCTTGTGTTGTGGGTCCTGTGTTGTATTACACTAGCTAGACTTGTCCTTGTGTTGTGTTGGTGCGGGCGTTGTCTGTGCTGTCTGTTGTGAGGCCTGCTGCTGTTCCAGTTCTGCCTGCAGCAGACTCATGCGCTTCCTCTGGTAATGTTGCCAGTGTAACAGCTGTTGGTCATCAATAAACTTGGCACATTGAGTATTGACAAGCTCCTTCCTAAAATATTCATACTGCAGCAGCTCCAGGAAGTGCAGGCACTGGGGATATCTACAACAGTCAGACTTCAAAATTACATTAACCAGAGAAATGTATTGTGAAAAGATTTATGAAGCACAACCAAAAGGTGTTTATATGTGACATTTCGATGATTAGTACGGTATGTACTCTGTCACCTTCATCAATCAACTGACAAGTGAAGAGTATGTACACAAAGGTGTAAAATATGTACGAGTTGTCTATAAATTGATGCTGATTCGGCTATGCTATTAGCATATATGATCGGCCCAAGGAAACTCAAGTTATTGCACGAAAACAGATTTTTTATTTATAGTAACAGTGACCTTGACCTTTGACCTTCGAACCTGAAAAGCAATCCCAAGCAAGCACTTTTGGTAAGGAAGCACTGCATGAAGTTTGAGTTTGATCGGCCCAAGGAAACTCAAGTTATCGCACAAAAACAGATTTTCTATTTATAGTAACAGTGACCTTGACCTTTGACCTTCGGACCTGAAAAGCAATCCCAAGCAAGCACTTTTGGTAAGGAAGCACTGCATGAANCTTGTCCTTGTGTTGTGGGTACTGTATTGTATTACACTAGCTAGACTTGAGCTTGTGTTGTGGGTCCTTTGTTGTATTACACTAGCTAGACTTGTCCTTGTGTTGTGGGTCCTGTGTTGTATAAAACTATATAGTTAGAACGTTGTTGTATTACACTAGCTAGACTTGTCCTTGTATTGTGGATTCTGTGTTATATAACACTATATAGCTAGACCAGTGTTGTATTCCACTAGCTAGACTTGTCCTTGTGTTGTGGGTTCTGTGTTGTATTACACTAGCTAGACTTGTCCTTGTATTGTTGATTCTGTGTTATATAACACTATATAGCTAGACCAGTGTTGTATTACACTAGCTAGACTTGTCCTTGTGTTGTGGGTCCTGTGTTGTATACACTAGCTAGACTTGTCCATGTGTTCTGTTACACTAGCTAGACTTGTCTTTGTGTTGTGGGTCGTGTGTTGTATTACACTAGCTAGACTTGTCCTGGTGTTGTATTACACTAGCTAGACTTGTTCTTGTGTTGACGCTAGCTAGACTTGTCCTTGTGTTGTAGGTCCTGTGTTGTATAACACTATATAGCTAGACCAGTGTTGTATTACACTAGCTAGACTTGTTCTTGTGTTGACGCTAGCTAGACTTGTCCTTGTGTTGTGGGTTCTGTGTTGTATTACACTAGCTAGACTTGTTCTTGTGTTGACGCTAGCTAGACTTGTCCTTGTGTTGTGGGTTCTGTGTTGTATTACACTAGCTAGACTTGTCCTTGTGTTGTGGGTCCTGTGTTGTATTACACTAGCTAGACTTGTCCTTGTGTTGTGTGTCCTGTGTTGTATAACACTATCTAGCTAGACCGTTGTTGTATTACACTAGCTAGACTTGTTCTTGTGTTGACGGTTCTGTGTTGTATTACACTAGCTAGACTTGTCCTTGTGTTGTGGGTCCTGTGTTGTATAACACTATATAGCTAGACCAGTGTTGTATTACACTAGCTAGACTTGTCCTTGTGTTGTGTTGGTGCGGGCGTTGTCTGTGCTGTCTGTTGTGAGGCCTGCTGCTGTTCCAGTTCTGCCTGCAGCAGACTCATGCGCTTCCTCTGGTAATGTTGCCAGTGTAACAGCTGTTGGTCATCAATAAACTTGGCACATTGAGTATTGACAAGCTCCTTCCTAAAATATTCATACTGCAGCAGCTCCAGGAAGTGCAGGCACTGGGGATATCTACAACAGTCAGA